TTGTATTGTACAATTGTGTATTTTACCAGCAGATAGACCCTGAAAGCTCAAATCCGAGTCTTAATTGTTCTTCCAACACATTTTTTGAATTGGCATAACACTTCAACAGCTGATTCACAACATTATTTTCCGGCTTATGCAAAAAATGTGGGTGTCTGGTAAACAGGTTCGAGTAATCTAAGTGCAAGAGAAGTTGGTCGTTTGACCCACTGGACGCCGTTCTCTCCTTTAATCCTTTACTTCCCTCCACTCGTCCTCTCACTCAGTCTCCTTGTTCTTCTCCAGCGGTCGGACACTTCTTTGGTTACAGCTGCGTGCCGGGTGCCAAAGACCCCCATCATGACCCCAGAGGCAACAACCCGAAGAACCTGTGCGAGGCTTGCATAGGAGACGAGAACGACAGACACATCTGCGCTGAGAGCCACAGAGAGAGACACTACGGAGAGGCGGGGGCGCTGAGGTACAACCCTGACACTAATAACCTGGGAAATAATACACTAATGGCACCCAGAGGAGGTGTAGCTGCTACGACCTCTGCCTGAGTGTCTGCCTCACTTTATTCTCTGCTGCCTATTCTGTCTCCATGAAGGAAACATAATGAGTAATCAGAGCTGTCTGAAATAAACTAATTGATGATGGTGATCAATAAGTCTGGCGAGTCCCATAGTGTCTGTAGAAGCTATATAATGTTACATGGTGGAAATAGACTCCTTTCATTAAACACGATCATAATAAGAGGACAACTTGAATGGTCACTTTCTGTGCTGCATCTGCATTTAATGTCCATTTCAATCATTACCTTCATTTTATAATTAAAGACAATGGTATGAATGTGTTCACTTATATCTTACTGTGCAGTACTTCTCAGTATAATGGCCTTTAGCAAATCAGTAAGTGTGTCTGTGATGGGAATAAAATGGCCCGAGGAGCCGATTTAACAATTTCCTTAAGTGCCTCAATAGTCAGCAGAGAGTTTACTAATGTAAACAGAGTCGTGCTGTTTAAATAACACATTTCCGAGCACAGTTCCCCCATTAAGTCATGTTTTGATCCGTTTAAAGATTGAAAGTGTCTGATTTTTTTGTGTGTTTTGTGTTTTTATTTCAGATGTGTGGCTGAAAATCTCGGGGATGTGGCCTTTGTCAAACACACAACAGTCTTTGACAATTTGGACGGTCAGTGTTTGAATTATGATGCATTTGAGAGACTGCACCGGTAACTATACAGTACAAGGATATCATTTTAGATTTTAATTATTAATGATGAGGGTTACTTAAGGCCAGCAGAGTGCTAGTCCCTGACAAGACACAGGATGTCACTGTTCTACAATATTACTCATAAGAGTATCACAGTAGCCAATAGAGGGGAAAAAATGGGATAAAACATAATTGAGAAAGGCAGGCAGGAGCAGGAAGGGACAGACTGACTGACATTTTTGTCCAGAAATGAAAAAGCCCTAATTACCTGTTTGGCTGCATCTGCTCCTCTGCTTTGGGCAACATCCAAAATGAATGGTGATCATTATCACGGTCACGCTGCACAGACTCCTCTGGTGCTGCCGAGAAGGAGCAGTTTGACGCCGGCTCAGCAAACACCGCCGCTGTTTAACGAAGCACACTTTCTCATATGGTTCAGAAATGTCTGGAGTCAGACCAATTAACGGAGGTCAAGAAAACACAGACGGTCCGTGCTGGTGTCTGACGGGGAGTAAGTAGCCTCGAGGTGGGCTACATTTAGGGGTTTGTTTTAACCTGGGGCTTACGTTTATAAAGTGTGGGAATAAATGGTCAACTTTTGGAATCCATCCAGTAGAGTTCCTCCGCCAGCAGCCGCAACAGGGTACAATGTAATCTCATGGGGCAACTGCGACAGTCCACAAAAGGTCCATTTAAATAAAAGGCTCCATTTTTATATTCTGGGTCTGACAACATTACATATGTCTCGCTGAGTCCTCGGGTTGAAAAATACCAGAATACCCTTGAACAAAAGAAATTGATTTATTTGTCATCACAAGCAAAGAGCTACAGCAGTTCTTATAATCTGCTTCAATTCTGTATAAAAATGAAAACCACAAAATATAATCAACATATTCAGAATAAATATAGGGAAATAAAGTCCATATATTTAGTTTGATTCAAATTCAAAGACTTTGTGAAAAATGTAACGTCCTTGAATATGAGTTTTGGCTCAAGTGACAAGAAAACTGATACCACTCTCATGACAGTCCGTTCAATAGAACAGTAACCAGTTTTTGATTTGGTGCAGCGACTTTCTGGAGCCTGCAGCAAATATTCTAGGATTTCTCTGTGGCTGGTGCTGCTGATAAATCCCCATAAAAAAGCACAAGTTGTCACTTTTACACTTCATTTCTTGTGCAGGTAAAATTAAACAAGATATAGTGCTTTAAAGCTGCTGGTAGATGGATTATGTTACCTTTGGATGGAGCCAGACGAGCTGTTTACCCTTGCTTACAGTCTCTTGGCTGTTATTTCCCATAATGTTCACCTCCTTTAATTAAATTAAACTCTGACAGACTTTCCCTCCTCTGCTGCCCAGGTAAGAACCAGGAGTCATGGGCTCTGGACCTGGAGCTGGAGGACCTGAAGCTGCTGTGCCCAGATGGGACCGAGGCAGGCCTGGATGAGCATGAACATTGCCACCTGGCAGCCGTCCCCGCTAACGCTGTGGTGGTGCGTGTGGAGGACAAGTGCCGCGTCTGGAAGTTCCTGGAACGTTTACAGGTGGGTGTACTGGAAATTGCATGTGTGTTTCTGTGTGTGTGTGATTCTTTTCCCAGTTATGTGTGTTTATGTCTTTTATCTCTGTGGAGTCTGTGTAGATCTCAGAACGCAGGTATCTACTAAACTCTTTCTTTCTGAGTTTGTGGGAGACGCCAGGATGGCTGATACGTCCTGTGCTGATCCCCTGGCTACACACACAGACACTTCCTCACATTTCCAAAGAACCCACACACGTGTATGCAGAGCACGCCAACGCACATCAATGCGTGCCCTCGTGCATAAAGTGCTGTCACACACTTTCTCTCGCCTGCAGAACGCGTTTGGCAACGCCACCAAGGGCTTCCGCCTGTTCAGCTCAGCGGGCTATGGCGAATCTGATCTGCTTTTCAGTGATGCCACCCACCACCTGCAGAGGGTTCTGGGTAGCTACTCCTCTTGGCTGGGCCCCACTTACACCACCATGCTGCAAGCCTTCGAGTGTGAGGGTAAGGGCTTGTTTGTCTGCCTCGGTGGTGTAAAAGTGTGGTTATGTGTTTTTATGTGGATCTGGTGACAGACAGACAGTAGCTGAGTGGCTGGAGGATTTCTCCTTTGTGTGTGTGTATGTGTGTGTGTGTGTGTGTGTGTGTGTCCACTGCAGCTGTTCTCATTATTGTACCTTCCCTCCAACAGGCTTCTGCTGATGGAACAGGAGGAAGACATCCAGTTCATCATCCCTCTGTCTCCATCCTCCCGTTCTGCCTTCCCTCCCTGCCATCTGCGTCTCTGTCTCGCCATCCCTCCTACTTTTGCTCAGCTTTTTTGTGTTTTGTTTTCTGCCTGTGTTTTGCCACCCATTCTCCATTTCTACATCCTCGTCCCCCTATAACCTGCTACGTCTTCTTATATGCAGGCCGGCAGGGTAGGACATCGTTCTGAGGGACTAATCGGCTAAGAAACAAATGTCCACTGAACATGATTAAAAGGACACTGGGGAGAAAGGGCGGGAAAAAGAATAGGATAATATCTGAAAACAATAGAAAAGAACACAACAGGTTAATGAGTTGTTGTAGTTTATATAATAGGCCTATTGACAGGCTTTTTTTCTGTGTACAACATTTTTAACAAGAGGATTTTTGATAATGTTTCTGGTGGGATTACACCACGAGGAAGAAAAGTGTCTCCCCCAAAAACTGTTGTATATTTACACACACACACACACACACACACACACACACACACACACACACACATCCAGTTAATAGTTCCTACCCTGTACGTTTGTTGGGAGATTCTGTTCTTCTCAGCTTGATGCATCAGTACCAGCCTCCCCCCACCCTCCCCTCCTCCCACAGGGTCCGTCTCTGACACTGAACAACAGGGTGCTATTAAGTATGAGCTTCAGACTCAGTAACTCAGTAACTGTGTGTGTTTCACTGATCATCAGCCACTGGCATATTAAACTGTTGTGTGTGAGAGAAAAATGTGTGTATATTTGTGTTTTATGTTCGTAAATGTGTGTGTGTGTGTGTGTTGACACGACTGCTGCTTTCCCATGGACTTGTATAGCTTTCAACTTTGGATCACTGCTTTCTCACCGGTCTGGTACGATGGACTGGACCGTGCCATGCTGTGCCAGCTCACAGTGTACCGTTACACTATACAGTGAGGAGAGAGGGGGATTAGAGCTCGGGTTGCCTCCAGTGACCTCGGAGTGAGACTTAATCGTTTTCTCACCTTTGATAACATTCAAAGTCACAAAATATGATCTCCCCAAAACCCTCTGACTCTCCTGCTTCTGTTTTTATCTACATAGCAACACATACAGGAATATATGTCATATACCCTATGTGGTTTATACTCTACATAGCGAGATGCTAATATGATAGCTGGTAAAAGTTTGCTAACAGAAGGGAGTTTGAGTCTGAGCTGTGCATCTTATCAAATAGTTGTGCATCTTCCGGTTGCTATTAATAAAGCATCACCTTCTTGTTTAAAAAGGCTTACTTGAAGAATCCTGTACTGTAAAACTCCATAACTATACTTCAACTCTTCACATTCTGCACCACGGGGAAAATAAACCGGTTAATCTGGTTTAAATTAAACTATAGTCAAACTGTGGCTTTTGACCGTCATCACACCGGAAGACGTCCAACCAGTTAGACAACAGCATTTATTTCAAAAACAATATTTTTTTAACTAAATCTGCTGTCTTAAAATGTTGTCACCTTTAATATCCTGACCACACCTGTTACCTCTCAGATCCTTTTCATGACAGAGGCTATATTAGTGAAGGGTAACAGCATGTACTATTTCCCCTCTGGTTTCTACCATTGGTGCTGTTTGTTTCCACATCTTATGATATATATAATATAATACTCCTCGCTGCCTGAAATGTGTAGAGCTGCAATCCCTCTTCTTTTCAACCAATTAAACGAATGATGAAGAAAAAGAAAAAGAATCCTCTCTTCCTTTAGTTGACTTTTAATTATTATTATCATCACAGTAAGATACAGACTGTTTAGTCTATTTCTGTTGCCCACAAATGGAAGGAAAGAACAAGAGAGAGAATTAGGAAGAAGGGAAAAGGAAAAAAGGAGGTTTCCCAAACACAAAAACCAACATGCAGAGACTCAGGTGCTCACAAAGGTGGAGGGAAGCCCCCTCCTCGGAGGTGAATCAGGGTCATGCTGTTATCATCGGGGGTCATCAGAGAGACGGGCCTCTCCACAGCATGGACCAAATGCTCCTGCTGGCAGCACTTCACCTGATTCACAACATCAATCCTTCACAGAGAGTCTGCACTGGTGATGGAGGAGCTCCATTTAGCAGAGAGCAGATACTGTGGATTGAACTGCATTGCAGCAGAGCGCTGCAATCGCTCTCCATCCTCGGCTCGCTCGCTGGCCAGTTTTGCTGCACTGCACAAATAAAAACAATTAATTTGGCTCAAGCACAATCCTCTCGACCCCGAAGGTGTGGGTGCGATAGAGAGCAAAAGAGTGTCAATACCAGCAGAGGAAAGTCATTTCATCTGTGCTCTTGATACAAGCAGCATATAAACAGAACATGTGAGGAAAGATGGAGAAGCCACACTTCCCCTCAAATGACCTGAGAAATCTCTTTAAAAAAACTAAAACTAACAAGCATTGAACATGCATTCAAAATATGAGCCAACATTAAGAAAATACAGAAGAATTAGGATATTTTAAAATATAAAATTGTAAAAAAAAATTAAAAAAAAACTCTTATAAGGCAATACAACCATCACATATCAGCTAGTGTACAGACTGGTTAAGCTTCCCATCAGCAGCCCATATTCACAAATCACAGTTTGCCTCACAGGGCTTAAAAATCTAAGGTGGACATCCTCTGGCATTAACCCTCGACTGTAGGTTGAAGGAAAAACTTAATAAAAAAGAAGCTGCAAATTTCTCAGAGAGGCATTTGCAGCTTCTTCTCCTGTGCCAGGATGGACAACATTTACAACATGCAAAACACAAAAATCTACACAACATTCGTAAGAAAAGACAAGTGTCTAACATAAATGAAGATTAAATTATGATGATGATCACAATACACAAATAAAATGCCACTCAAAACACAGTGTAATATACATAATAATCAATACTTTCAATGTAGATATTTATACTATATACTTGTTATGGATTATTCTAGTGCTGTGGCGACGTAATGCATCAGTAAAAGTGTGATAATTGAGTCTATTTAAAACTAACAACGTGAAACCTGTTTGTACACAGAGCACGTTTGTGCACGGTGCTGTTTACACTGGCAGGAATTTAAAGGATGTGAATACTCCTTCCTCCCTCCTCTGTGGATGCCAGGATGCCTTTAAAAGTGTGTGAGGACTCGTGTTAGTGGAGTGAGTCCGTGCTGGCGCGTCATTTTTTACGCGTCTTTTTTTCTCGAGTGTCTTTATCTCCGCTGGCACGGGTGACGGCACGGACTGGAGACAATTTGACCGCGGGTTGCGAGGCGAGAGCGGCGGAGAAGTGAGGGGATGACAGTGATGGAGGGAGAGGAGAGGGAGGAGTGACAGGTAATCCATCAGAGGCGTTACTGTCATTATTCAATTACCACCCATCCTTAGCACTGCCTGCCTCACCCCGACACACACACACACACACACACACACACACACTGGGAAGTTGGACTGAAGTCATGGATCCTCTTAGACAAGGTAGGTTTGTGCAGTGTGGGTGGTGAGCTGAGTCGGGACGCAGGGCCTGGCACCGGTTCCTTATATGCTTTTAGTGCAGCAGACCTTTAAATCTCCACTCCTTCCTCTCCCGTGTCCTCTACTCCCCTTCTCACCTCTCCCACCCTCATCTCTCTCTCTCTCTTTCTAACCCTATTCCTCTCACCTTCCCCTCCACTCTTCCTCTCCCTCTTCTCAGTTCACTCAGTCCCCTGAGCCCACAGCAGATAAGGTACATGGAGTATGATTAGACGCCAGTGACACCAGGCTTATCGCTCTGCTCCCATAACGCTCCCTAGATCACTTGCACAATAAAAGCCGAGCAACTGACACACACACACACACACACACACACACACA